TTTTGTCTGGGGATATGTAGTAATAGTAGAACAGCTCTGGACTATTTCTTGATCGCAGGCTATGTTTCAAGTGCTGTGATCCTGGAAACAGCAGTCAAAATATGACTTTTATATTCCCCAGCTTCATAATTGCTATTAGGAAGAAACTCCTTATATATACACCAATTAGTTGGTACTGTTTTGAGAGTTATTACTGGGTGCCATAGCAAAGTCTACTCTAGCAGCCCTTTCCGTGATTTTGTAAGAACTCAATGTCGTATTATCCCCATTAAAAAGTAACCAGAACAGTTTAGTTATCTGGAACCAAATAATGACTGACACACCAAATACCTATAATCATTGCATTCAGGGTGAAAATATTTTTGAGTGGATTCAAACTCCTCTCTAAGATTTAAAAAATAACCATTAAGAATAACACAAAATTCTCCAAAATTTTAAAATAAAGTTAAATATTCTCATGACAGTTTCCCATGGAATATAACAGTTTCCTTTTCCTCCCTCCACCAATTTAAGAACAAATAACTAGATCTTTTAGTGTCCATAAAAATATTTTATAGCATGATACTTTCTACTTAGTGATATTTTTCTATGCATAGCCTTTTATTCAGAATCTTGACGATCTTGCCTTAAGTTAAATAGGAAACATTAGTTGCTCTCTTGCTTAATACCATTTGATGACCTCTCTTTGAAATTTGAGTAGATTGAACTTTTTATCATCACCTAACATACATGATTTTTCTCCTACCAACCTGTCCAACTTCAATTCCTGCTGCTTATTAACTGTGCTACAGCTACTATATTTTTCTTTATCATCTTCCAGTGTACCAAGCTCATAAGATCTTTGTGTGCTTGTACTAGTCATCCTTTCTGCCTAGAATTTTCTGTCTCCAGGTAATTGCATGATTGTTTTCTAAAAGTCATCTGGATATCAGTTAAATGCTACTCAGTAAGATCTTGCTTAACAACCAAAAATAGAATAACTACCATCATAACATTAGTTTTGATTTGCTTCAGAGACCCATCTCTTTCAGATATTATTTTTTTAATTTAGTAGTTTAACCTGCCTTTATCCACTTGATTGTAACACCAGGAGACCTGGAATCTTACCTGGCTCATTTATGTACCTAGAAAGGTGCCTGAGAATTGGAAGTGCTTAATAAATACAGTATTTGCTAAATGACTGACTGATTCAGTGCATTAATAAATAAATAATTTAATTAATTCCAAATGAACTTTCTCCTTTCTGGCTTTTCTCACTTTTCAGTTGCATTTAGCAAAGCATGTGCCGACTCAGTTGTCTCCTCATGGAGGCTTTCACTTCCTGGTTGCGAAGGGTATAAATCACAGGGTTCATCAAAGGAAAGATTACAGTGTGAAAAAGAGAAACTACTTTGTCAGCTGGGAAGGCATTAAAGGGGCGAGTGTAGATGAAGATGGCAGGTCCAAACATGAGAAACACAATGATAATGTGTGTGGTACATGTGGAAAGAGCCTTGCTCTTCCCTTCTGAAGAGTGCCCCTTGACATGGCAGAGGATGACTGCATAGGAGGCCAGAAGCCCCAGAAAGCACAAGAGGGTGAGCAGGCCACTGTTGGAGACCATCAGGAGCTCCACCACAAAGGTGTCAGTGCAGGCCAGCTTGATGACCTGTGGCACATCACAGAAGAAGTTGTCCAACTGGTTTGGGCCACAGAAGGGCAAGTGGAGAATAAGGGCCACTTGTACAATGGAATGAGTAAAGCCCCCAAGCCACAAAACCAACAGCAAGACATGGCAGGCTCTCGGGTTCATGACAGTTGAGTAGTGTAAAGGACGGCAGATGGCAATGTAGCGGTCAAAGGCCATCACAACTAGAAGGAACATCTCCCCTGCTCCAAGGAAGTGCAAGAAAAAGAGCTGAGTGATGCAGCCTCTATAGGAGATCACCTTCTTCTCGGAGAGGAAGTCCACTAGCATCCTGGGAGCCACAATGAAGGAGTAGGATGCATCCAGGAAGGCCAAGTTGCCCAGAAAGAAGTAGAGAGGGGCCGTGAGGCCAGGGTCTGACCTGATGGTGAGGATGATGAGGAAATTTCCAGGGAGGATGATGAGGTAGAAAATTAAGACTAGTGCAAAGACCAGGAGTTGAGCATCTTGAGACTGAGTGAGACCAAGGAGGATGAATTCTTTCACGACTGTGCTGTTCTCCCTTTCCATCACTCCCCAGTCTGCAGAATAACAAAGAGCAAAATATCGTCTGTTATAACCACCTTTCGTCTATTCCATAGCTCTTCTCCAGATAAATCAGTATTCGCCACATCTAGTACTTCCCCAGCTGAAATCAATTTATGCCCCATAATTCTTTTATGTTTTCAGTTAATTGTTCTGCCCTTCATTTTCCTGACCCCTCTCTAAGACACTGTTCTGGTAGGCACACTGCATTCCTATTTAACCATGTGCTTCTATATAACTGTGGTCCTATAGGACTCGGCTGTTTTGCTTGAATAATATTAGGAATTTCCTGATTAAACCAAAAATTAATCATGATTGAGGTTATCAGGTTATTGTTGTTCTTGTTGTTCATGGTTCACTGCTTCTAATGTTTAGATTAGTTGGTGGGTTTTTGTCCCCTCTCTTCATCCCCACAGAGCAAAGTGATTTTGCTGATGCTTCTTTCCTTCAGTTCTTGTAGAATCCCTAGTTCCTAGTTTGCAACAATGTACCTTATTTTCTGAATTTGTGCCTGACTAGTTCCCATCACCTTGTTCTGCTTTGGTGCCATTGTGAACCTTTACTCCACAAAGCGGACACTTAGATCTCAAGCAAGAACCCTACATTTCATCTAATTTAAAGATTTCCCCTAGTTACACCCCTGATTTGGCCCCAATCCTGCATCTGCTCAACATCCTCTTCTTAAATCTAATTAATACTAGCCCAGTCTTATTTGTTCACCATATATTCGTAGCCTAATTTCCCCTCATATCTCAGGATGATAGCCAAATGATATTATTCCCACAGACACTTTCATATAATATAAAATTTATCATAATATATAAAAGATTTTTACTATCTCAGCTAATAAAATTAAAGCTTACTAGAACTGTAATTGGCCATATATAACATGTAGTCTAATATATCATTTGACAGATGAGAAAAATAAAGCAATTGCAGTTAAGATTCTTAAAGTTACAATGAGTTTCCTTCTTTGCTCTCCTTAGTAAGTGGTAGAAAAAAGGTGTGTATTCCTCAGTTTAAACTAATTATAAATTATTCTTGTGTCCCATCAACTGGTGTTATTTTATTTAAGCACTCAATCATGATATTTCTTATGTAAATATTCCCCTTTGCAGGCTATAATCTGGCTTGAATAAGAATTCTAACCATGTTAGAGATATCCATAATCAAGGTTTAGTTTATACAGTGGCCTCCAAAGTAGGGTATGCTCATCCCAGGGGATGCCCAGGATAGTCTGTAGGGGTGAATAAAAATAATGGACCTTTTCTACATATTATTATAAATTATGCTTTTAAGTTTTAAAAATATTTGTGATTGCTTTCTAATTTTTATATTACTATAATTATGAAAACACTTTATAAACAAATACTCACATATTGTGATATCTGTACTTGTCTCTGATTATTGAAATGATGTAAAAATAAACACTTGCTAATTGTAACAAAATGCTATAATGTGACGTATAACAATATTTCCCCTGATTTTTAATTACATGCAATACTTGTTTTTCAAACATGCTATGGGTACAATGGAATACAATTGAGCAACAAAAGGAGTGAATACTGATATATAGCCTACAACATGAATCAACCTCAAAACCATTGTGCTATGTGAAAGTAGCCAGTCACAAAGGACCGCATATTGTGTAATTCAGTTTATGCAAAATGTCCAGATAAGGCAAACATATAGAGACAGACAGTGGAAGAGTGGTTGCCTAGGGATAGGGGTAGGATGGGAGTGACTGCTAGTGAGTATGTGATTTCCTTTTTAGGGTGATGAAAATGTTCTAAGATTATATCATGTTATTTCAAGTGATGCAAAAGCATATCTGCCACTGAAGATGTGTGGGTAGAGAGGGTGCCTATATCCCTCCTCTGTTTCTCAGTGTGCAGACACACAACATCTGCAGGCAACACTGAGTATACCTAGATTCCAACTGCTGTCAGACCAGCTCCTGCTTGGGGACCTGATCACCATCCTAGTATCTCAGTCCTTAATCTTTCCCCACTCATTTCCTATTACTTCTTTCCTATTTTTTTTTAATCATTTCCTATTCTCTTTCTGCTAATTCTACTGTAATATGCTCATTTTCTCAATTATTATTTTTATATTTTCCTTAACTTCTTTTATTCTTTTATTTTTAAATTTTATTAAATTTTTCTTGCTATTTCTCTTCCTTATTATATCCCTTGCTTTTCCTTCCTTATCAGTTTCTTCCTTATGATTCTTTTTCTTTTTCCTCTTGTTTGCCCACATTCTTTCAGTCTTAAATCTTTTTTCACTTTGTTCTCTACTTCTGTTCTGCTTCATTATATTCAAAGCCTGTCCTTTGATTAATTCTGAGATAATAGATTGTTTTTCTCATTCCATGGTGGAGTGAGCATGGTGGGTGCTTCCTGAGTGTTCCATTAGAATGGATTTTTCTACATGTTAAAAATGCTTAACTTGATCTTCAGTGCTAAGCCTTTCCTCCTGAGTATTATCCTCTTTGAGATTTACTTGATCTCAATCAGACATTCATTACTTCACGTTCTTTGTTGGCTTTTAACTCATTCTGATAAAAATGAAATAACTTGTCTCTGTACTCTAAAATGATTCTCCTTAGCACCACCGTCACCAATGTGAATACATTTAATGAAAATCAAAAATGGCAATGTCGTTTCTGATACTGTATTGATTCTATATCTAAAGTTATTACAATATACTGTTACCTATTTCTACAAGTTTTAAAAAATGTGGATCAGTCTGAAGAATCAAAAATACGTAGTTGATACTAAAGTTGAGGATTATGTAAAACTTTATTCAGTTGCACAGATCTTCATCCAGATAATAACTTATAAATTAAATGGAGTAGTTAAATTAGATGATGGAAATCACTACTGTCATTTAATATTCTAAGATTTTAGACAGTATCATGAATGTTATATGAAGAGCCCTGGTTTGGGAATTATCCTATCTAATTTAAGTTAATATTTCTGCAATTTCTGTAACTGTCTAATCTTGGGCAATTTGTTAGTCTTTTTAAACCTTTTTTTTTAAATCTACAAAGGAGAAGCAATATATCTACCTTTCTACTCCACAGGGTTGATATGAAGATTAATTGAAATGAATAGTAACTAATTCACATCTGCTTAAACTGAACTAAAAATTCAGTGATTAGACAAATTCTAGTAAAAAGTGATTAAAGTGGACACCATCTCACTAGATCTTTTGTCACTGCCCTGGAGTTAATTCCATAAGAGATGGTGACTGCTTAAATCTGAGTCATTTCAGGGTAGGAAATCGTAGAGATTCAAGGAGGTGTCCACATAAAGTTTTCTTTTCTAATTCAGCTAGGGTTTGTGAATCAAGTCTTTCTTGTTTTAAGATCCCTAACTCTGAGGCTTATGTTTGTATTAGGATCTTATATTTGTATTATGTATGTATGTTTATATTAGGACCATATGTCTGCCGAGCATGGGAACCAAGAGGTTTGCAAACTTGTGAAGTCAGTGGAGTTTGTCTCTGGGACTCAGCCTACCGCTTCTTTGGATTCCTGATTTCCTGTTCCCCTTTATCTCTGAAAATCAGATGATACCCCAATTTAAATCTAGAGAGTGATCTCATAAAGTTATTTTCATTTTCACTTTTTTTAAAAAATAATGTTAGGATTAAAGATTTTTGCCCCTTTAAAATAGTACTAAGCCTCAGGAGGACATGGCAGGAGGTGTATTTGAGGGACAGGGTAGACAGTGCTGTATGTCTGGATTTTGATCTCACCTTTTGTTTCTGCAGCATCATTCTATTCTCATGCATTTTAAGGCAGCAAATGTCCCAAACAGTATGATTTTTTTCCTATTTCTTCATCCTCTTAATTTCTTCCAAATATGAAGAATGAGCAAAAATTTCACCTTACCAGGGGTCCAAGCGCTACTCTCAAATAAATGCCTATTATCTTCCTTCTGATGAAAAGATATTAACAGATCATTCTAGAATTTTACCTTAAATATATGTTCACATAGTGAAACAACAAAGATTCTAAAATCTACTCTACAGTTTGTGATGCAGTAGGGGATATGGTTTGGGATTTTATAGCTACCTGAAGCCTGCAGAATACTTCCAATGGGAATTATTAGAATGTCAACCAGAATTAGAAAAAAGAAAAGACAAGAATATTTTGAGGATTAAATATTCAAAACATGTGCCAGCTAAGGCCACACTGGATCTTGTTAGGATTTTGAATTTGGCATTCCATCAGAGAGAGTGATAATGAAATGGCACATAGGCTTATTAAGCATAATGAAAGTAATAAGCCTGGGGAGGTTGTTTTAGATCTTATTATATAATTCATATAAGTGATAAGAAGACATTGATGTTCAATAAGAAATTAAGTAATGAGACTAAGTCAATGGTAAGTATGTTCCTATCTGCATATTTTTATGCAGAAATGTTAAGTAGAGAGAAAGTATGTTATGCTCAAAAGTTTTTTCAGGAATAATTGTCCTTAAATAAGAGAAACTCATGGTGTCTTGTAGAATAGTTCCTCTAGGGATATACCCTCTCAAGTAAAAGAAATTACTCTATTGTGATCTTGGTATTTATAGTTATTCACGTCTTTGAATGTGTAGTTCCTGTGTTCTGCTATAGCAAAATGAAGTCCTTTTCATTTTTCAGTTAAGTAATGTTGTAGAAGAAAAAATATTCAGTCATATAAAAATCAGTTTATCTTAGTTTTTGTTATACATTAAAAAGAAAAGTGAAATGAATCTGAGTCATATTAAAATTGAAATAACAAACTTAACTTTTACAAAACAAATACAATATATGATTAAGTATACTTTTATTCAAATTTATGTCCAGTTCATCCAGAAATGCAGTAGGAGATGTTAAAAAGTGGAAGAAAGAGGGAAAGAGGTGAAAATAATGTTTTTTGCAGTTTTTTTCCTATTATAATCTGTGCTGCAGATAAATACCTTTGAATCATTTTGCTAATGTAGAAGTTTATCTGTAGTATAAATTCCCAGAAAGATAGATAGAAAAATGAGGTAATTGGAAAAGAGAGAACAGAGGGGAAACAATGAAAAGACATAATGGAAAAAATAGGAGAAAAGATGTAGAGACACAGAAACCATGTACATGGAGATGCACCATGAAGGCATATTTGCAGATACAGAAAAAGGAGGAGAGGGGAACGGAAAGAGAAAGAGGAGAGGGTAGAGGAGAGATGAGAAATCTTTGGAAATGCCAAGTCTTTTGTTTTATTTTTGCTTTTTAATTTTATTATCTTTTATATAATTACAGACTTCTCAGGGATCTCACTTCTCAGAAGTGATTGGTGAGATAGATTCTAGTTCTTTGGGAGGCCTCGGTGAAACTGAGGAGCTGGTTGCATGGAGCAACTCTTTTGCTCCCCAGGGAGAAACTGAGAGCTGGGATTGCTAATTGCCAAGTAATGTTCTATTGTATGGATATAGCATATTTTGTTTTATCTGTTCATTTGATGATGAACATTTGGGGATGTTTCAACTCTTTTATCATTTTGACTAAAGCTGCTGTAATCGTTTGTGTACAATTTGCTGTGTGAATATGTTTTCACTTTTTGTGTGTGTTGCATAGATATTGTAGTGAAATTGCTAGGTCATATGTTATCTGTATGTTTAGCACTTTGAGAAACTACCAAAATTCTCTTCAACATGGTTGCACCATTTTACATTCTACCAGCAAACTATGAGGGTTCCAACTGCTCCACATCCTAGTTGACCTTTCTTACTGTTTGTCTTTTTGATTATAGCCAACCTAGTGGGTGTCACATTGTTTCTTATTATGAATTTGATTTGTGTTTCCCTCTTGTCTAATGATGTTCAGGATCTTTTTGTGTGTTTACTGACCATTTGTATATCTTTTATGGAGACTGACTTATATCCTCTGTCTATTTTTAATCCAGTTGTCTTTTTATTTCAAAATTGTAAAAGTTCTTGTATACTGGATAAAGGTCCCTAATCAGATACCTGATTTATAATCATCTTCTACCATTCTGTGCATTGTCTTTCCCCTTTCTCCTGACTCTCACTTATGCTAGGGTTTTTTGTGTTTTTAGGTTGTGGATTTTCACTTTTAAAACCTTTCTGTGAGTGTTCAGTGTAGCCTGTCTGAAAATTAAGAAAAGAAAACCTCAATTAAAATTGGAGTTGGAAAGACCTGTAAACAGAGCTCTTATGCCCCACCATTCATCCATTGTCAGCTACCCCAGTTGTCATCGGATACTAACCCCAGTGTGAAAGGATGCATGTTGTTCTCTCAAACAGGAAGAGAAATTACTTTACCACTCCAGCAGGAGGAATGAATACTTCTTGCCCAGCAACAAGCTCCACCAATGGAAAATACCTAAGCTGAGACCTGAACTTTTACTTTCCTCCAGTTGAACTTTTGTTTTTCACTTGCATATGATTTTCTTTCCTGATCCCACTCTCCTTACTCTAAAACTTCCGTGTTGTGTAACACTTTGTAGTATCTTTCTGCCAGATGAGATGCTGCCTGACGTGCATTGTTTAGTAAAGCTAATTAAAGCTTCACATTTACTCAGTTGAATTTTATTTTTTAACACCTCTTTTCAAGCTACAATTGTTTTTCAGGAATACTTGTGTTTACTTCTGCCAAATGCCTAAGGATACCACCCTTAAGTTGCAAGTTAAAAGAAAATTCTCACTTTGATGTATTAGGGCATACAAAGAGTGTGATGATGAGTGAAACCCTTGTTAGGAAGCATTTATTTTATCTCCACTAAGAATCAGTTTGGAGAGACATTTTTTGCTTACTTTCTGCTTCTGCTGGGTAGGATTTCTTCTAAGTTTTTCTTTTTTCAGAATGTGAGCCCTTGGCATGGCCTCAGTCAGTCTCCATCCTTGTTCAGGTCTAAAGCCCAGTCCACAGTGCGCTCCGAAATTCCAAGTTCTATTAGCAGGCTCTCTAGGGAATGGTATTTTGTAGGTGTCCTCAGAGTAGACAGTGGTTCAATGCTGGTTTATTTTCCTAGAGTTCAAGGTTCAAACTGGGCCTCAGGTGTGATTTTTAAATTTTCTTCTAACATCTTTAATAGATTTTAAAAGTTATTTTAAATGATTTGCAATTTTATATGTTTTGTAACCTGAGGGGCTGAAGATCTGGAGTGTGCTGACAGACATAAAAGTCTTACACAGTGTTTTATCAAATGACTTTTAATTCCATCCAGCACTGAATGTATACTTTTATCTTATCACTGGTTAGGATTCCTTTAATATGTTGTGAGACTGAGATTTTTTTTGTTTACTATGTAAAGATAGAAATGAATATGATCATTATGGCAAATATGCTTAAATTATGGTATATTACAAAAAATCAAAAAGTGTGCTTCTGTTTTACTTATTGAGGCTTGCAAGTCAACTGCACACACAAGACATTTTTCAGAGCATGTGGTTTCAAGCCTGCTCTTTGTAGTTCTATTAAAATTGTCCTTCCATTGACTATTTTCCCTTTGGTATCTTATATTCACACTGGCATCTTATATTCACTATACTATGAAATTTATTATTTTTATGTTTTGTCTCAAGAGGTTAGAATTATATATTTCCCATTGTTGTTAACATTTTTTCAATCACTATTTGTTCAGAGTACCTCATTTACAGTAATAAAAGTTTATGACTGTCATTAGCAATCTGTATCTATTAGAATCATCTCTAATAGTACTCATCACATATTTCATATTTATTTCTTCACTAGTATGTTGACTATTGTAAAGAATCCAATGATTTTACATGTTTATTTTGCTGCAGATTACTAATTATCATTCTGTATTATAACAGCATTAACTGAATTTACAATACTTTATTTTTTATTTTATTTTTTTTACAATATTTTATTATTATTTTCTGCACTGGTTATGATTCTAACATAAAATAGTGAAACCATATATATATATATATATATAAGATATATTCTGTTAGCACAGTATTTGAAAGAGTATTAATTATATAGTCCTAAATTCTAGAAGTTCTGCGCAGAGCTAACATGTTGACACTGTAATTTTCTCATGGCCTTTTGTATTTTCTGATTTCTCAGGGTGTAAATAATAGGATTCAGTAAGGGTGTGATAACAGTGTAAAATACAGCAAGGATTTTATTACCTGCAAAACTGCTGAATGGCCAAGCATAGATAAAGATGCACGGCCCAAAGAATAGAGTGACCACAGTGATGTGGGCAGACAGCGTGGACAGAGCCTTGGAGAGCCCTCCAAATGATCTTTGTTGCACAGTGACCAGGATGACGGTGTAGGAGACAAGCAGGAGGAGGAAACAGATAAGTGAGAGCAGTCCACTGTCTGCAATGACAAATAATTCCAAAGTATACGTTTCCACACAGGCAAGCTTAATCACAAGGGGAAGGTCACAAAATATGTTGTCAATGATGTGGGGGCCACAGAAAGGCAAGTTCACTGTTAATACCATCTGACTCATGGTGTGTGTAAAGCCAGTTGTCCATGAAAGCACAACAAACCCTCCCAGCACCCTGTGGCTCATGATTGTCCTGTAGTGCAGGGGTTTACATATGGCTACATACCTGTCAAAAGCCATGGCTATCAAAAGAGTCATCTCAGCACCTCCAAAGAAGTGCATGAAGAACATCTGGGCCGTGCAGCCCCATGTGGAGATGGTCTTGTGTTCAGCGAGCAAGTCTCTGATCATCTTGGGTGTGGTGACCGTGGAGAGACACAGGTCCAAAAAAGACAGGTTTCCAAGGAGGAAGTACATGGGAGAGTGAAGGGAGGAACTGCATGCCACTGTGACCATAATGAGGATGTTTCCCAACACGGTAGCCCCGTAGATCAAGGAGAATGTCACAAAGAAGACGATCTGAAGTTCCCATGGTGCAGAAAACCCTAGTAGAATAAACTCAGTCACCACAGATCCATTACTCAGGTGCATTTCCTCCACTCAGAAAGGTTCTAGAAGTTTTCTATATATGGAAGAGATTTTTTTTTTTAAAAAGCCACAATTAGTATTGATGTCTTCTGATTTCTATTTGATGAATAATAGTTGGTGATATGAGAGCATGTATTCTTAAATCTCACCTTCTTGAGGCTGTTTTCTCAAATCCTTGCATTACCAATGTTCACAGTAAGGAGTTGTGTACTGTGTGTAGATGTACATATGAGGTAATTTAGCAGTAAACAGTGAAATGATTCAGTTCTAATGTAAAGATTTTGCTTTGATTGTGAAGTATCAGACTAGATTCTCTTTATTGAACTTTTTAAACACCATTTGTAGGATCTAGAGGAGTCAAAAATAATCAGTAACAATCACATGATTCCTGTGTGCTAAGCAGTGTGTTAAGAGTTTCATATACATTAACACACTTAATGCTCATAGCAATGCTATGAAGTTTTATAATTACTTTAATTTCGCATATAAAGAAACCATAGCATAGGTGTAGTGAATGACTCATCCAATATTACACAGCTAACAAGGAACAAAATTGGTATTCAATTCCAGTCAGTCTGACACCAACATGTGGACTTATAGCAATATATCATATTGCCTCCAAAAGTAAAAGAACATGTATTTATGGTAAAGTTTTTAAGTATCAATTAAATTTGTATGTTCCATTCAAATGGAACACAGCAGATATGATTCAACAATTATGTTGGAATCCCTCTATGTAAGTAACTGCATTTTTTTTCCTTATACAAATGAATAAATTCCGTTTAGGGAGTTTACCATCTGGAGAGATTAATTATCAAACAATAAAAGCAAGAAAATATTTAGTTTAGCCCATGAGATATGAAAAATGTGGTAAGAATTTTTAAAGAATGGAAACCACTTCCAAGTGTCACTTTCGAGATATAGCTTCAAGCTTTGTTGTCCTTATCTTCAAAACATTTAAAGTAAAAAGAATTCTTATGATCAGTAAACTAAAAGGACAAGGCTTAAGGAATGTGTGAGGATTTATAAGAAGAAAAGAATGAAGAGCAGTGACTAGGAAGCATGGTATATCATCACCATTACTCAACCTTAATTCCCTCAATTACTGTCCTACCTTAGATATTTTTAAGAAATGGATAATACCTACCAATTAGGGAAAATAAAAATGAAATGATGTAGTTCCTGTAGGTCAACCTCCAGGAGTGTAGAATGGATCCTGAAAAGTGGACTGTGGACCTGGAGGAGCACACAGAGGATAGCTCCACACCACGCCTTCTGTGAAGGGGTATCTTACATGATTATCATGTGAGTGAGCAGGAAGGTTGTCAGTGAGACTTTGGTGACAGTAATTGAAATAATTACATGCACTTTAGAGAAAGGACAAGGCTTGATAGGTCATACAATGAGTATGGCAGCTTTAATTTGGGAACCAATGCCTTTGTTATGGAATTTTATGATCCATGATATAATTAAAAACAGAAAATCTTGAATATGAATTTGATTAAGTTAAGCAGAACTTGATTTAAAAGGTTTATTTTAGCCTTTTATTTTATTTTAGAAGGAATGCTAGTGTTCATTTATGTTGTTGGTTTTTCCAGCATTTGTTCTCTTATTCCTCTTCTTCCTTTCTAAGCATGCTTTCTCAAAATAGTTACTTGATTCTGCACTTAATATACCTGTTCTTACATTATGAGAGTACAAAGGCAAGAGAAATGAAAAGGAATAAATTATAGTATAGACAATCCTATTAGTGAAGAAAGTTTTCTTCCTCTTGAATAATCAATTGCACATTTCACTATAATTACCTTTAGTCAATTTATGATGGGCTTTGGAGGATTTTGAAGATAGAATAATAATATATTAGAACTAGGGTGGAATTTTGTAATCATTTATTCTTCACATCCTATTTAGTAAATGAAAAGTCAAGATCTACATAATTAATCAAATCTTCCCAAGTCTTAGAGGCAGAACCACCCCAGGCTATGTCATGAATATTAGGTGAGATGGTGCAGGTATAAGCTCCTTGCTAGGCACAGAATGAGCACTGAGAGGGCATGTGTCGAATCTGAGTCGTTTATGTAAGTCTAATATAATCCCGAGACTTTTCTATATAAATGCCTATTAGGAAAGGAATTAGCCATTACCTGGTTAGTAAACTGTTGTATACATATATTTCTGATCTTGCCCATGTGTGTATAGTACATATAGTACTTAATATAAGCATAATCGATTCAAGTAAATATTCTCTTCCTTTTTCATTATAGGCATTTTAATAGAATAAACATAATTTTAATCTTGATGAATTTCATGTTTCTCTAAAATTATACATACTTACGCTAAAATATAGATGGAACCAAAAAAAAAAAAAGCTAAGTAAAAGAAGCCTGACACAAAGGACCACATGCTGTATAATTTTGTTTATATGAAATGTCTAGGAAACTCAAGTCTGTAAAAACAGAAAGTATATTAGTTGTCTCTTCAGCTGGCGACTGAGTGCAAATGGGCACAAGTTTTTTTTATGTAGTGGTGAAAATGATTTAAAATGAGATTGTGCATAGCTTATAGTTGCACAGCATTATACATCTTAACTTTTATTCTGAAGCTAAAATTATCTTTAATATATTAATTTAGTGTGTTTAAATATGTGTTTTTTAAGTTTCTAGTACTATCCAGCTGCTTGTACTCAGATTTATTTCACCAAGAGATAATCAATGACATGCTACAATCCAACACAATCTAGTTTTAAACTTTATTAAAGTCCTCTATTTGAATTTATATTCTGATTTACTTATGTATTTGGAAATGTGCTCTTCTCTGCTTTTATTAGTTTTTTTTGATATTTTTCTTACTATTTCAAATACTCATAATGAGTTTCCTGAACTTTTCACATTTTCCTTCATTCTCTTGAATATGAACATCCTGTAAGGACTTCTCCCAATTTAAGATCTCATTTGTGTGTATGGTCTAATTGTAAGATTTATATGGAGATTTTCTAAATATTTCTGATCATTAATTCTCCCTTGCTAGCTTCTTTTCCAACTGCCATTATGATATACTTATTTACATATTCTAGCTATACTTGAAACTTGATTAAAAGAAAAGTATCCCTATTCTATAAAAAAAATGCAAGTTTCTAGCTTTTCCATTATTTTCAATAATATTATGAGTTATCAGGATGCTCAGGATTTACTTTCTCTAATTTTGTTCGTCATTCCTAATCACTTACCGACTACTGCCCAATTTTATTCTGCAATATCAATTTGAGGGAATATACCTTTTAAATTTTCATGGAAATTGTTGGTTATAGCTCATTGTCAAATAAGTATGTGATTTCATGTCTCAAAAGTCAGAGACTTTTCCTTACAAACAACCCAGAATTAATTAAATACTGTCTTCAGTATACTAGCCTTCTAATGAATAACTCTCTATGATATCTTCACTTACCTGCTCTAATGGCACAGAATGAGAAACAACATGTTCAAGTAGCTATTCAAAATTAGAAACGTACTTTTCATTCTCTGTGATACTCTTCATGTGGTTCAGGATACAATTTTCTGCCTCTTTTATGAAGATGTGAACCACTTTGGAGAGAGATTTGTTAGAGCGCTGGGAATCCAAATTTCACTGGGAGTTGTTAAAACACTGACTCTGCTGCCCTAGCATGACCACCAGAGATGTGCCCACTTAATTTCAGATCCTGTAATATGCTGTTGCTCTCCTTGAGCATGGGAATGATTAAAAAGGTATGAGAATGTTGGTTGGGTGGTTGTGATACAGTAAGTGTAGGCATCTTTGATTTGATGGACTTTTCCGTTCCCTCATGTTATTCCCCAGCTGTTTTCTTCACAACTTTGCAGTCATTTTTCAGATGTGTAATCTCCAAAATTTTCTGTGCATAACATTCCTAATATAAAAAATGATCTATGCATGTTGTAATTTATTCCTAAAGCACATACTGTGTACACACTAATGTATTGGAAGTAGAAATTGTTAAAGATAAAGTTAGAATAAATCATATTAAATTATTTATAATTTGATATACATTAATGTTACAACTGACTGTTTTATGTTCACTAAAATACAATTATTTCTTTGATTTAGGTACCTTACATGAGAGTTTCAGAGAATATTTATATGGCAAAATGGTTTTATTATAAAATATTGGAATAAACTTGTTTTACAAGGTGTTACTTTTACAAGGTTAATTATATTGATCCTGGTGTACTTTGCGTCACAGGCTTCAATATCTGTTTCAATAACTTGCCAACAAAAGATGTCATGAGTAACATTCAAATTGGTTGATATGTCTGCCACTTACCTACAAGTCCTTATTTAATTCCAGTCAGATTCACTACTTAACTCATGGCTTAGTGGAGATTTTTGTCATAGACTTTGCTTTTATTATGATACTTATTACGATTTATGAGAATTATTTATATACAAATGTTAAAATTAATCCATGCTTTTATATAAGGCAAAACTCTTTCTCATAACATGTAACTTACTCCATCACTTGATTACAGGTCATTAGAAGTGGTTTCTGTGTACTTTTTGATAGTGTTTGCTGATAAAGAATGCATTTTATTTATTGTCATATCATTCATGTTAGCCATTTTTACAGACTGGCAGAAGACACAATTATTTTCTCAGTTGAATGTGTCTTTTGTCCTTTTGCTATTAGTAAGAAAATTCAAAAACACTTTTTACTACATTTAGATGAAAATTTAGAGCCTTCCATTGGTTATCATGTGACTTAATATTGCCAAGAAAATGACAGAGATTTATTTCATATTTTATGTTTATTTTTAATACTTTACTAATTCTAATCACTAGCTAATATATCAAGATATGGTGTAGATGTTCAAGTTCATTGTTAATAATTATGGAAGTAATTCCATATTGTAAAATAATGTTTCTTAATAACGTAGAATTTTTTAGCCAGTTTATTGTTGGTTCTGATAGTTCATTGTTCTTTTACTTTGTGATTTAACTGATAAAGAGTTTATATTATGGGTACCATTGTCAGTTCTGCCATTTTATACTAGTTTACATGAGTTTTGAAAATTAGAATGATCTTCAATCCAAGGTTTACTTTCAGAAATATTTTTAAAGCCCCTAATG